GTGTGTGTGTGTGTGTGTGTGTGTGTGTGTATGTATATATATATATATATATGTGTGTGTGTGTGTACGCGTGTGTCCGTGTCTGTGTGTGTGTGTATGTTCGTGTGTGTCTGTGTACGCGTGTGTGCGTGTCTGTGTGTGTGTGTGTGTATGTTCGTGTGTATCTGTGTACGCGTGTGTCTGTGTGTATACAATTTTGTATTTTGTGCATGTATATATGTATGTATGTATCTGTGTGCGAATATATATGTATGTTTGTACGTACGTGTGTATTGTGTCTGTGTATATGTGTGTGGAAGTATGTGTGAATTTACATATACATATATATGTATGTATATATATATATGTGTGTGTGTGTGGAAGTATGCGTGTGTATATTACGTGTTTGCGTACATATGTATTTATGTGTATATATCTATGTGTGGTGTGTCTATGTGTGTGTGTCTATGTTTATATATATATATATTCTGGTGTGTGTGTCCTTGTGTATTTACGTATTTGTTTGCGTTTGTGGTTGTTGATATGTACCGTGTACAAATGCATATGCTTGATGCATTTTACTCTATTTGTGCGTGTGCGTGTGTCCATAAATAATCTAAGTAGATACAAGTACATGCATACGTACTTGATTTTATATATATTGGATACTCTTCAATGCACACTTATATGAATGAGGTACATCTTGTTTTACTGTAGACATGAATCTGTGTCGTTTCTAAAGGTGGTAGAGGACTTATTGTATTTTCTTGTGTCATCATACTGCTAGTCAGTGTGCACAAATCCCTTATACATTGTGTAAATTTAATCTTGAACTGTTACAGATGTCTACAAATGATAACTATTCAATCTGAAATATCAAACTGAGTTCAAACATGTATTATAGCATTCGTAAGATTCTGATTTGTACTTATCGCACCTCTCTGATGTGCTTTTCGTGTTTCCTATACATCAAGTATTCTGTGTGTGTATAATCCTACATCTCCGTGTACATGTTGTAATGCGGGTCTAGTATATCAGTTCACGATGCAATTAAACCAACAACTAAATACATTCATATACCTTTATTATACAATAGTCTCGTTCTCGGTACATTTTACTTACATTGGTAAAACATAAAAAACATATATACGTTCTGTTCGTATATATGATTATCCAGTGTAAGATGTATATAAGCCATTTGTATGTGGTTATGTATGTCTATATGTTTGTATTATCATGCCTACACAGGCAACCCCCCCCCCCCCAAAAAAAAAGGACTGATGTATATTGATGTATATCATATCACTGCTGCTAGAGTTGTACTTCTATAGCTTTGACCAGCCACCCCTCGCCTGACATCTGTCAAGGTCACACCAGGTCTTATGTCCAGTATCTCATATGTATCTGTCTATAGATAGAGCCATATGATCATTTCGATGTACATGTTGCATAAACTTCTCCGTCATAGTACAACCATAGTACGATATCCTTCTCTCTACATCATCTAGTACTCGCACCTACTCACTCGCACCTTATCCCTGTTTTTGAGTGTCTCATAGGCTGCCAGTCTCATCGTGGATCTTATTAAGAACAAGAAAATGGCTGGTCGCGCTGTGCTGTTGGCTGGTCCCCCAGGCACGGGCAAAACAGCTATCGCCCTCGCCGTATCCCAAGAGTTGGGCGTCAAAGTACCCTTCTGTCCCATGGTAAGTTAAAGTGTAGTATATATATGTGTGTGTGTGTGTGTTTGTGTGTGTGTGTGGGTATGTCTGTATATGCCGGTCTGTATGTATTTATGTATTTATGTATATATATATGTGTGTGTGTGTACGTGTGTATGTATGTCTGTATATGCCTGTCTGTATGTATGTATGTATTTATGTATGTATGTGTGAGTGTGTGTGTGTGTGTATGTATATGTATATACATATATATATAGAAAGTCTACAGCCTGTCCTGTCGAGCGATTGTTGCCGCCGTGTCCATCTCATCCGTGCAAGATCTCGAATCATCTGCTCATATCTAAATTTCCCGCTGAAGGCATATGGTACACTGTGGTTTCTCAACATATCTTTGTTGTAATCGATATCTCCAACAGGTTGGCTCAGAGGTGTACTCATCGGAAGTAAAGAAGACGTCTGTCTTGATGGAGAACTTCCGTAGAGCCATCGGTTTGAAGATCAAGGAGGTTAAGGAAGTGTACGAGGGTGTGTGTACCGAACTGACGCCGGAGGAGACAGAGAACGCATTCGGAGGCTACCAGAAAACTAGTAAGCGGACTATATATATGTGTGTGTGTGTGTCTATGGCTTTGTGTGCGTGTGCGTCTGTGTTTGTGTTTGTGTGTGTTTATTTATGTGTGTTTATACATATGTATCTTTTAGACACTCATATTGCTACAGTAGATGTGTGTCAAAATGTGATATGAAATCCAGGCCGTCTGCCATACGTTGGAGAAGTCGTGCTCATGCAGACGGGACTTGAACCCACAACCAGTACATTAAAAGTAGGTATCAATGAAAATTAGTACGTAAACGTTGTCTTTTCAGTCACATATTCCTGTGTGATGTACTGTTCTGAATGATGAGACTCGTCAGGCTGTGATTTTATGTGGACTAGCATGTGAGGCGTAGTGTACTGCATGGAGGTCGTTGGCACATATGGGAGCTTTCTGAAGACTCGCATACTTGTGAGTGCCTGTTGTACAATATCAGATATCCTTTGTGGTCTCTTAGTCCCTACCCAGTGTGCTAGCGTATGTCGGTGGGGTCTTACGCGTGTAGCCGTCCCGTCTTGTGTAACCTCGTCTGAGGTATGCACCAATAGGGATATCGCCTTGGACCGATTACGTATCAATGTGGCGTGTATACACAGCGTCTCAAATGTACCAAACATTACTACATCTGTACGACTGCGCAGCGTGGTTTAGATAATGTATCTACACCAAAGACGACCCCTTTCGACTGACTTTCTGCCGCATCTGTGCCACTTTCAGTGTAGTGAATTGATACTTCCCCGTGAAGTCCGTTGCTTAATCCCCTCTTGCACAGGCGGGTCCGTGCTCTGTGTGTTCTGTTGCGTATACGGCTAGTCACAACTGCCATTGTTTACCGCTACCAGACTGTGCTAATCTTCTTATAGTCGCACAGTCACGTAGTCTCTCTGCGTGCGTGTAGTCTCTGTGTGTGTGTGTGTAGTCTCTATCCGTGTGTGTAGTCTCTGCGTGTGTGTGGTCTCTATGCGTGTGTGTGCTCATTCATGTTGTTGTAGTACGTGACGTGTGGCTACTGGTTAGTCTAGGCAAACGGCGCACGGCTGCTCATGGCGTCTAGCAGCGCTGGTATACCCAGTAGGATATTCAACTGTTCGTTTTGTTTTGTATCGCACAGTCAGCCATGTAGTCATCGGATTAAAGACGTCAAAGGGTTCTAAGCAGTTAAAACTGGACCCCACCATCTACGACGCCATAATGAAGGAGAAGATCTCGGTGGGTGATGTCATCTACATCGAATCCAGCTCAGGCGCCGTGAAGGTATTGTAATGGATTGCTTGTTCATCCGTGTTGATTTAGCGGTCGATCTGTGGGTGTGTGTTTCTCGGCTGTTGCTACACTCCTATGGCTGTCTATGGTATTGCAAGATGCCGGAAAATAGCCCTGACTAAGCCAAACTCGGTGCGCAGTTTCATTATTATTGAGTCCAGTCCAGACTCTGAAACGGTATACAGAAGGACGGTCTATTGTATTGTTTGTTTATTTGCTCGGTCATTTCTATACTGCAAGTGTACCTGTGTTGCCTAGTTGCACATGCAGTCAAGCCTTACTGTATGTGACTGGATGTCGTTGTGGGATGGCTTTTATATCTATAGAACAGCTCCGCTGTTGTACTGGTTTTCAGATTTATTGTATGCACATCTGCAGTCTGTCTAGACTATCTCACGATAAAACCCTAAAATCCTAAAACCCCGTCCATAGACCGCAAGGTATGTATATCACAGCCAGTTGTTGCTACTTACGTATGTGCCCGGCGCTTTTATTTATCCGTTTCGTGGCTATTGTGTTTGTTGTCGTTTAAGGTAAATCCCTGGGGCTACCCGTGGTTGTGGGTTGGATCCTTGTAGTCAGTTTGTGTATGGCCATCATCCCAACGGAATGCGGTGTGCCAGAACTTGCATCCTATCATCATTGTGTCATGATGCTGGGAGATACGATGCGTACACCCACAAGCTTAGTTGTGTTTATATTTGTGTCTGTGTCCGTGTCTGCGTCTGTGTCCGTGTCTGTGTCTGTGTCTGTGTATTGCACACGCATGGGGCGTAGTCACAGCCTTGATAGCACGCAAGCTTAAACAAAGGTGGCCTGTGTTCAGCGAATATCAAACATCAATCTGCCGATAAACCCGTTCTTCGTGCCGATAACTAACACATAACCGATAGCTCACGTGTACCGCACAATAACTTTTCTCTGTTTAAGAGGGTGGGACGTCATGACGCGTATGCGCACGAGTTTGATCTCGAAGCGGAGGAGTATGTGCCTATGCCCAAGGGAGATGTACACAAGAAGAGGGAGATAGTCCAAGACGTTACGCTACATGACTTAGATATGGCCAATGCGAAGTGAGTATGGCTGGCTTACATAGATATACTGCAGCGTGAATAGATGGGTTTGTAGTGCGCCTAGCACATGTTTGTGCGTCGATGCATGTGTCTACATGCGTGTATGGTTTAGTATGTATTTAGGCCGTCAATGTGGCGACGAAGCTTGGAAGCTAATGTAGTTGTGTGTTATTGTGTGACCTGTAAACTCTGTGCGCTCGTGCGAGTGTACCGTTGCGGTTTGGTAGATCGATCGCAATGGCGCATAGTATTATGAAATCACTCGGGAGCCGGATGTAGTACGGTGCATATGAATGGCACTACACATATGTGTGCGAGTTATTTGTGTGTTTTGTAGGGGTTTGATCATGTGTTGTTTACGTAGTAGCGCTCGGGGTGTTGTTGTCTAACCAGTACTCAAGGTTTAAATTATCAAATAACTAAGTGGAACATGTATAGCTGTTTCTAACAACCAACTAGTCCACATTACCCACTTTCGCTGCAGTATACGTCTGCGTTCGCACATGGTACCTTGTTCGATGGTAGGTTCGACGTTTTGTTGATGATGCGTCAGCTGATAGTATCAAACTATGAGAAGTCACACAAAGAATAATTTAGTTGCCGTTTGTACGTGTACATTCTCATATGTGAATATGTGTATAAGTATCATATAATTGCGTATTCTATTTCTATGGTGTCTGAACGGGTCTATGTAGTTACCCGTACCTATACGTGTATGTCCCATATTTTCGTTGTACTGATACTTTTTCAACTTGCGTGGTGTCTGTCAGACCGGTGGGAGGTCAGGATGTTCTGTCAATGATGGATCAGCTTATGAAGCCAAAGAAGACTGAAATTACAGACAAATTGCGAAAGGAGATCAACAAAGTAGTCGACAAATACATCGACCAGGGAGTGGCGGAACTTGTGCCTGGGGTGCTATTTATAGATGAGGTATGCCTTTACTATTATAGATATCTGAAGGGTATTGGAATGCGTCTTTTTTGGTTTGTTCTCAGCTATGATTATTATGTGTATACCTACACTTTATTATACTTACGCCTATTTATTAGATTCAATGACAGTGTGTATGACTGCGTTCTCGGTCGTGTACTGTGAGAACCACGCATATGTATATATGTACATATATATATATATATCTACTATATCTAATATCTCTATCTCTATCTCTATCTCTATCTCTATCTCTATATATATATATATATGCGTGTGCGTGTGCGTGTGCGTGTGCGTGTGCGTGTATGTATTTATGCATATATATATATGTTTATGTTTGTGCGTGTGTGTGTGTATGTATGAATGCATATATACATATATGTATATGCATATATAGTTTTTATTATTTTTTATTGTATTATATTATATTATAGGTATGCATGTATGTATGTATGTGTATAATATATATTTATATATATATATATTTATTTAGTTGATGCTTGCTTGGTGTGTGCACTTCCATACCTTTGTTCGTTAATACTATTTTACATTTGTTTGAGTAGTTTTGGAACATATTGTTGGTGGTGTCGGGAACGATATAGCTTGCCTCAGCAAGGGCCCTAGTCGATGTGTGTGTGTATTATGATTCAGAAGGATGGTGGGGATGATCGCAACCCGAACCGCTATAGCACCATCTAGCGTGCGTACAACACTCAATCAAATAAGACCAGTGTATAGGTTCCTCCCTTATAAAGCTAGCAGACATCCAATAATCCTTTGCCATTTGCATATGCACAACCGTTACTAGTGTAGACACGTGTTTTTGCCTATACAAGACCTATCTGTGCCGCATTGCCGCTCTATATACGCCTACAGGTATTATAAATTCAGATCATACATACATGGATGTCGCCCACGGGTCAGTGTGCTGTGAGTGTTCGTACACCGTATGAGGTTTGGCGCCACTTAGTCAATATCGTGATTGTTTGAATACCAGCCACATGACAATACACGCCAAGTAAGCGTTCTTGATGGAAGTACTCACACGATGGCATCGCGACTCTGTGCTCGAACAGGTACACATGCTGGACATAGAAACCTTCACATACTTACACAGAGCGCTCGAGTCTTCATTCGCTCCAATTGTCATCTTCGCCACTAACCGAGGGATCTGCACTATCAGGTATGTAATGGCGACGATTTCTTCTCCATATATGCACGTATACGTAGCATCTGTTTATATTTAGTGTCAAAAATCTTTGGCTTCGGTCCTGTGCTACTACCTATTCCGATACATCTACAGATTTATCAATTTTGTGTAAAATGTAGGAGACATTGGTTGCGTGTTGATATTTAGCTGAATCTCACTTGTGATCACAAGAACAATGTATATATTTAAACACGTACATGAATATAAGGCACTGACTTACGCGATTTATACCTTACCCCAATGAAGTCACCGGTTGATCTTGGTTATCGTTGGTGTGCAACCATGCAGTCATAAGTCTGCAAGTAAATGAATGTATGTACGTATTTGATACAATTTGCATTTACATAACAGTCACTAATCCTCCCATGCGATGCCCACTGTGGCTATTTAGGGGCACTGACGGGATACAATCTCCCCACGGACTCCCGCTGGACTTACTCGATCGTCTACTGATCGTGAGAACACTCCCGTACACAACGAGCGAAATGGTAAGCTCTCTATGATTACATCGCGTCACGCTGTATTGCACCGTTTTGTATTACATTGCGTTGTGTCGTGTTGTGCTGTGCTCTGTTGTGTTGTGTTGTACTATATCGTACGAAAGCATATCGTAGGCCTCTGGATATCTCCGTTGGCGCTATATTCCTCTGTAAATCTGCCTAAGAAGTTATGTACCTGTGTTGATGCACTGTAGGCTTGCCCTGCCTCGATATGTTCTGTTTTTAAAATGTTGGTTCCCCTGCTGCTGTCCATAAGTATCAATCTATATCCTATCCGAATACCTCGACCGTGGTATTGCGCTATGCTCGATGTGTATTACCCCACTTGTTTTGTACACCTCATGATTCTACAGACAGTTCAAATGCTTTGCGATTTATTCGCTATACAAGTTTGAATGTGCTAGCCTCTTCTGTTCTAGTGTAGATTTGTTTCCTCTGTAGGCTCTATTGTTCTTCACAAATGTTGAAAATGATCTGGGATGGTATTCTTTACAGCCCAATTGATGTAAATAGTTTATCAGTAGGAGGTCGGTATATTGTCAATTCGACAATTGCTACCAAAATTCTTTCCTATTGCGTTTGTCATTTCACAATCGTTGGATATCTGTGGATTGTTTTATTCTACAACATTAATCCTGCATTGGATTCGATCATATATACGCATGTACGCAACATGTCTATGTAGTATCGTCTGCTTATCCGGTCTGATACTGATTACACAGGTGCAAATCATAAGACTAAGAGCAGAGACAGAGGGCATCAGTTGTGAGGAAGATGCCATCATTCGGCTGGGGCAGATAGGCACTGAAACCACTCTAAGGTAAGTATTATGGCAGGTGCTCAACTGAAAAGCACGGTATCCCATCACGTTAGGGGTTTATTCAGCAACCGCGCTTGTGACTGGACAAATTTGTGTTAACTTGTTTTGTCTGTAACTATGTGCTCGGTTGTAATCTCAGTGCTCACATATACCATCAAGTACACCCACACATACGCCGGTAAGTTTCTATCTTATATATATACTATAGTTTTAGGGGGTGTAGCGTGCTCGTATTCAATCTGTTGGAGACCACTTTGCGTGCATATACTTCACGCCCGTGGTATCGCATTGCTTGTTAATGTGCTCGACTGGTAACCGGGGTGTGCTACTTATATTCTCTTGGGGCGAACTATGTATCTTATTCTCAGTACGCGGCTGCACTCGTATTGACCACACATTATCAACTTCCCATCATTCATCTACTAAGGTATTATTAAGGTCCTTGCTTACCCTGGCCGTGCTCTTTACTGTATATACTCTGCACACATGTTTATATTACAATTACATGTTGCCGTCACTGGTATGCTAGAAAGTTTGACGATGCTCAACGCAATTTCTTCTATATGTGCTCATTCTTAAATGTTTTCTTATACTGTGATCCATTTTAAGGTATGCTGTACAATTACTTACACCCGCGAATATATCACGGAAGATGACGGGGAGGGACAAAGTGGCAGTACAGGACGTGGAGGACGCCAGCAATCTGTTCCACGATGCGAAACGATCCGCTAAACGATTGGCGGAAAACGATAATAAGTATATGCAATAGATGAAATGTGCGCATCTGTGAGTGTTTCTGCACGAGTTATGCCATGGTTAAATAAATGGGTGTTCACCTCAGAGCACACATAAAAACGCGCGTGTTAAATGGAAGATTTTGTATACTGCAACACAAAACACTAATTTTTTTTTAAATACTATCACACATCACATAAATGAAAATAATCTGATCTTTCTATTTTTGTGATCTACAGTTTTCATATCACTCCGAGTTAGAATTTCCTTATGTTGAATGACTGACTAGTTTTGTAACGTGTCCCCAAACTATTAAGGGGATCGCAGCCGATTTTATGTTACTTGGCACTTGTCTATCTCCCAAGCAACTATACTAGACTGTACCGAGGGTGTTTCCCATTTATAATCTCGATGTGAATTGGTTTCTAAATCGTGTCTTAACAATTGGGCGGATCGCAGTCGTATTTATGTACTTTCTTAGCATAAGGTATATATCTCCTTCCTCCACTTATCTGAATTTTTTTCATGAATAAAGTACCTCGTGTAAAGCATAAGTTGCCTGGCTCATTACTTAGTATTTGTATTATATTATTATTTAATTTCCTCCAGTATAATCTCGTGGATAGTATAGTGGCTAGTATCTCCGCCTGTCACGCGGAAGACCCGGGTTCAATTCCCGGTTCGCGAATCTTTTGCTCCTTCTTTTTGTCGAAATATATATTTTTGTCAGTTGAAGATATTGTTGAATGCGATCATTAAGAATAGTTATCTGTACAAAACGTCAACATATATAGTACCTGTCATTTTATTGTTCAGTTCATCCTACGAATATAACGCCAAGATTTTTTTGTCTTAGGTACAAAACTATTTTTTTGTCTTAGGTACAAAAGCTTCACCTAGCCGGAAATCGAATCCGGGTCTACCCCGTGGCAGGGGGCAATTATACCACTAAACCACTAGGTATTTAAAACCTTGTATTTACAAAGTTTATATTGCGTATATTGTATACTTTTTTTTGGGTGCATAGTTGCTCGAATTGTAGACGAATCTCGTCATTGCAGGAGACCACATTTAAATGTGGGCTGCTGTGATCATTTCTTCGTAGTATCCCTGTGATTATTCTGAAACATTACACTGATATTAATATATGATCTTTGGCTGTGTGTACTTTTTTTCGCAAATGATGCGCCTCATGGCTTCATGGTAGGCTATATATACCTTTATGCCCAGTAATTTATTAAACAGCTCTATATGTACTAATTAAGTGTAATACATATTTATGTAGCCTACTATTGATCAGAATATTTTATTTACATTCTACATTTTAGTTTATAATCAACTTTAGTGTTGAATGAATAAAGGCTAGTTATGCGAGTGTTTTTTATATACCCCAGTAGCTATCTATATTGAATCTCCTATCCACTCCAGGAAAGTATACTGCATGACGTGTATTAGCACCATCAGTGCAGAAAGAGACATTTTATTTGAACCCCAGCTGATGTACGCTATCGATGGCCGTGTATAATTGACTAGAGAATACACATGGGGGTCAGGTATTTGATCGCGACTTACGCTTCGAGTGACAAAGTTTTATTTCTGAGACAATGTATTTATATCGGAGATAGTCAGGAGTTTGGAATTGCCCATTGCTCGATATGGAGAAGTTATATTCACGTGATATGGTAGCAAGTAGTTATAAAAACTAACCTTTGATAAGTATTAAATATCCATTGTAATGCCTGGAAACTTAATGCCGGTAATTATTTTCATACTCAATGGGGCGTCATATTTGTGTTGACACTGCCCGATGCTTTGTGCCTAACTGAATATTCTCTATATTTAATATTTGGTCACTTCTTTTGTACCAATAGGATGACCCCACCTCTCCAGTTCGCCGCGTTGGATTCGTTGGATTTTTTTGCTGTGGAAACCATAATTCAGAAGCGTCTTTTCGCATCGTAATCCCTCAAATGGATGAGTTGACTCAAAACCGGCTAAACCACCATTTCCCGCTCGTCAATGTGTGTGAACCACTACACGGTGTAAATGATACATGTATTAGCTCAATTGACTTCATTGGACCAAGCGATTCGACCCCTTAGCTGAAGGGACTGATATCCAATACATTGCTTCGCGCAATAAATATGTATCTATCGCTGTCGCCAATGCCAAACGAAACGGTACACAGTGTAGCAATTATGAACATGAAATGTTCACATAAACATTACGAAGGGATGTCAGACTATTCGTTGTATTCTTCATAGCCATTTTTGTTATCTCGTATTTGATACCTTTGTCACACTATCCTCCCGTCGTATGTATTCCATAGGTCGCTCATACTTGCACGTCAAGTGCTATGTACGTTTAATATAAAAGCATATAAACCATCAGACGCTATATTATATACGCTCTTGAAAGTTTAACCCCACGTATATTGTGCTTATGTTTAGGTCCTTTTCTTTTTCTGTATCTGCTCCCCTTGCTTGTTCTGGTTGTGCGCACCATTGTCTGGCTTGTGACGTTTGTTGGCGTTCATGGAGATATCCTCCACCTGCGTGTTCGTCTGTGCGTTGTTGCGCGTATTTGCAGCTCACGCCTGCGTATATATATAT